GTGTGTGTGTGTGTGTGTGTGTGTGTGTATATCCCTGGTTTTTACTACATTTATAGGACTTTTTCTTATATAACTACCTTCCTTGTCAGGACCTTATAGGGACCAAAGTCCTGACTTTAATTTGGCAGAGTGTCATTTTCAGGTTTATGGATCAGTTTGGGTCTAAAGTGGGAACTGAGTTTAGATATGGTTAGGCATGTACTCTGATAGGATTAGGATTAAGATCGGGGTTAGGCTACAGAAATGAACAGAAATTGATACAATGCCTTAAAGCAGTGGTTCCCAACCTAATAGTAAATATTATAAGTAATATTATAATAGTAGTTTCTGTATATAAGTAAATAAAAGTCAATAATAAAATAATAAAGTAAATAGTTACAAACTTCTATTTGTTAAACAGAAATAACAAGAACAGTGTTTTGAGAATTACTCACATAACTTTTCTTTAAAAACTAACAACAGAGTAATCTTAAAAACATTTTTAAAAATAAAAACTATTGTTTTGTAAAGATATCCTCCGATTTTTTACAATTTACAGGCAGGCGGGTTTCAGAAGTTGTTCTCCAATATTGTGCGGCTTTTTTAAACTTAGTGATTAAAAGGGAACACTCAAAAGATGCTTCTGTGGTTCTATGCAAATCACTACCTGCTCTTTCAAAGGCTTTTTTGACGTCAGTGAACCTTTTTTGACAACTACTTCTGAAAGTATTCCCAACTTTCACCAATAATAATACTAACGTATTTTCTAAACTAGGCAAAAATGTATTTATGTTGTTAGAAAAATGACTCTTCTATGTGTTTTAACACATTTAAACATTCACAACTGCATGTGCTTACGTTTATGTTATATATTTAATAAAACGTGAGCTTAACCAAGACCTCTTCCTACGTCTTCTCCTCTGAGAGCCAGATGCACAGTACTGACAGCATAACAAAGCTCTCAAAGTGACAGTACCGATTTTAGTGTTTAACAAAATACGTTATGGAAAACTCTTAAAACTAGGGGTGCACCGATCGCAGTTTTCTGGCCGATCTCCGATTTCTAAAAAGTCTGACCTGCCGATTGCGATTTTGGTCAATATCGATTTTGTTTTATAAGAAACACAGTCAGGTGTTATAAGGTCACTATGCACCTTCAATTTTCCTATCTTTTTTTTTTTTTAAACATACCCTTGAACAATATCCTAGAAACAAAAAAAACAACACCTTGTTTTAACTGGCCATGAGGTAGTGCTCTGAAATGTAAATGAAGTTCAAACAATTGTTGTTAAAACTAAAAAAAAAATCGGTTTATCATGCAAGTATTGTCCGATTTCCAATTTCCCAAAATTAAGAAATTTGGGGCCGATAAATCGGCTGCTCGATAAATCGGCTGCTCGATAAATCGGCTGTTGAATAAATCGGCTGCTCGATAAATCGGCTGTTCGATAAATCGGCTGTTCGATAAATCGGCCGTTGGATAAATCGGCCGTTCAACAAACCGGACATGCAATAAATCGGCTGCTCGATAAATCGGCTGCTCGATAAATCGGCTGCTCGATAAATCGGCCGTTCAATAAATCGGCCATTCCATAAATCGACTTTCAATAAATCGGCTGTTCAATAAATCAGCTGTTCGATAAATCGGTCGGCTAATTTATTGGTGCACTCCTACTTAAAACACAAACAAAAAGAGGGTTCTTCTGTGCTAATCAGGATTTGGTGAAATTTCAAACATTATAATTAAAAATAAAAGCATATTTTCTAACGATGTTACGCGGACAATAAATTGATATTTACAACCTCTAACCTCTGAGCAGACATATTATGCGATCCCCACCCCCCATGCTCTCTAGTGCCCCTCCATGGGGGTCGGGCCCCTCAGGTTGGGAATCACTGCCTTAGCGTATGTCTGTGAATAACAACAACAACAAAAAATTACCATATTTTTCTGATTATAAGGCGCATTAAACGAAACTAAACAGCCGGATAAGTCGAATTTTATTCAACTCATTCACAATAACCACATAAAATCGGGTTGAGGTCAGCAAGCACAACCAGAATTAATACATAAGGCTCACTGTTGATTTT